GGGGGGGGAGAGTAGAGATAGATTTGGAAGTTGTCAGCCTAGAGATATTGGAAGCTGAGAGAGGCAATCCCCTGACCAAATGAGGAGGTACAGATGGATGGTCGAAGGGGTCCAATAACAGAATCTTGGAGGATTCTCATGGAAAGAGGGAGAGGAGGAGGGAGAGTTGTAGGTGACACTGAAGGAGCACTTAGGTAGGAGGAAAGGCAGGAAAGAGCTGAGTCTTGGGGCCAAGGAGTGAAGGTGTTTTTGACGAAGAGCAGGTGGTCAACTGTATCAAAGGTAAGAGAAAGCTCTAATAAAAGGAGTATGGAGTAGTGGCCATTAGCGTGCTGCTGATCCTTCTTTGGCCAATCATGAGGTGGGCCAGGTCCTTGCCCAAGCTGTATTGCTTAAATGCATAGCACCTCGAGGGAGGTCACAGACCATGCTGTACTGTTTGGTATGGTTGCCTTGATGGTCCAGTTAGATGTCAATCAACCCGGAAAAAGACCGGTGTTGGAAGACTGAAAAGGAAGTGAGCACAGCATTGGAGTGTGGAGAAGGTAAGTAGGGACCTTTTTCTTGAAACTAAGCTGACCAGGGGTAAGTCATTGTTTTAAAATATATATCATATATGAAGTCTTGTATTTATGCTACTTAACTTTGCTGGTCTCCTGCCGTCAGCAATAGTCCGTTACCACCTTAGAGGTAAAACACGCTGTATGAGACTAGGGAATTGTATAGCTTTTCAACACACATTCAGGTGTCTGTTTCTCTTGTTTGTTTGATATTCTGGCTGGAAGTGGCTCCAAGCTTGCTGGACATCAGGCCTCTCTATCTGGTTCTGGAGTTTTTGTGACAATGCCAGGATCTTCTTCAGGCTTTGTGTACTTTAATAAAGATTCATCTGCATCATACACACAGCTTACCTACATAATTATATTAAACATTCAAATATGTAGAACCTCAAAGCTAAACCATCTTGAATAGATGAAATAATTTCCAGAGACCTGTAAGAGGATCCGTCTGCTTGTCCATTAATCCCAGAACCTGTGTTTGGCCTGCAGAAGCTGAGAGCATGCGATGCTGATTAATAAACTTGTGCATCTGATTTACATGGCGCTACAGCTGAATGTGAACAATGTATGTTTGGCTGATGTACTTATTTAGTGATGTCATCTGTTCCTTTGTAGATGACAGCAGGAGACGTTCTCAAGTCAAACTGGGCTCCACTGCTGATTTCTTGTTGGATATCAATGAGACTGATCTAAGCCTGCTGACGGCCAGTATAAAAGCCCCATCTGGTCACGATGAGCCATGTATCCTGAAAAGACTTCCAAATAACCACATTGGTAAGCACAGAGCCTTATGCCATAACAGTGAATTATTACGACCTGTTTAAGGGGAGTTTGTTTATTTGGTAGAATATCTGTGTGAGAAGCCTCTCCTGGAAACTGCCTGTACTCTGATTCTAGTTCTGGGCTCGTAAAGCTGAACGGAAATTTGTATATGTGGCTTCTTAAAGTATGTATATACAATCAATACAGAGTAGGGAAGGCTTAGATGACCTGTCCGGTTTTTATTTGTCTTGGTGTCCATTGTCACAGAAGTGAAGGAAAATCCAAAACAATATAGTTGGCACAACACAAAAGCAAAAGCTGAGGGCATATCTTCTATTGGGAACACCTGTTGCAGTGACAGTGGTCTAAAAAGGGAATTTTCACCCTGTGGTGTGTCAGGGACAGGAAGTTATGTAAATCTCCCCAACAGGACACATACAGTAAAAAATAAACTGACAGGCTTTAACCCTTCTCTACTCTATCCAAAATGTCATGTCCTTCCTTCTGGAGGGTGGCTACTTTTGTTCTCCATGGTCCCTGTGTGTGTTGTAAAGTAGCCACCTCTCTAAGCTCGCTTCCATGATGGACTACAATCTCATGTTTAGTTTACTAATATGTACTGAGCTTGTAGTCCATCACGTGAGCAAGTTTGGAGTAGTGGCTATTTTACAACACACACAGGGACCATGGAAAACAAAAGTAGCAACCCTCCAGAAGTAAGGACAGTGTCAGCATGAATTCAGAGATGATTTGACGGTCTACAGCCGAGTGATGCACAAATAAGATACATTTTTTATAATAGTGCACTTGGATGCATTTTTTAGTTGTAACTCCTGAGTTTAGTGTTCCTTTTAAACATAATGGGTAATAATATAGATTCAAAGCTCTCGCAAATCACCAAAAGTTCATAGTTTGCTGTATAAGGTATAGCCAGAATCAGTGAACCAGCAAAAGTCTCTGATTTTACTGGTTCTGTTTCTGGCTGTACCCTATACTGCTTTAATTGCCCTCACCTCCATATAACTCAATTTGCAATCCACTGTTCAGAGTGCTGGTTCCAAAGTAATACCTGCTGATGCCTCTTGCTGTGCTATCTTCAGAACATCAGAAACTTTTATGGGCCTGACGCATCATATAGATCGCATAGATAATAGAGGGAGTATGTCAATATTGATTATAACAAATGTCAATACAAGCCTTTTAAAGGAGAACTATGGGGTTAAGCCTTTTCCCCATAGTTCTCTTAGGGTAACGGGAGGACACAAACTAGCGTCCTCCCGTCACCCTAGGCTCAGTATACCGCGAGCTGTAGCTCGCGGTATACTGAGACGCAGCAGCTGAAGCGGATGCAGACAATTGTGCCGGGATCCGCCCAGCTGCGTGACTGACAGCTGGCTCTGCCTATCCAGAGGCCGAGCCAGCTGTACCCGCCCCCTCCCCCGTCCGTTCCGCCAGTCAGCACTGGCGGATCGGAGGGGGGAATCCAGCCCCTCCCCTGTCACGGCAGAGAGCCGTGACAGGATCGAGAGGTAAGCGAACGCCGGTATGTGTTCGCTCACCTCCCGATCTACTGAGCCGTCCTGCGACAGTCTCATTGTCACAGGTCAGCTAGAACTATGAGGTGAGTGAAAAGCACTCACCTCATAGTTCTCCTTTAAAGCTGCAGAACATTAGTTCTGCAAAGGGCCCTTCAATGCCCTTTACACACCTCAACCTGATCCCCAGGTTAATGCCAAGGCCACAAAACGGCTGTCACTCTTGCATTCGGGAAATAGATTAAGTTCACAAACCTAGGACACTAAGAAGTTGAAAGGGTCATTTCACTCAAAACTAGAATTTGACTTTTTATAGCTCCTGGAGTGTTGCCTCCTCAGATAATTTCTTACCTTTCTTGACCCACCCCAGTTTCTGGGTATGCATACTTGCTGTGGCCACTATAAGGGGTTCCCATTTGTTTTCATTTTGTTATGGAAAATGTAACAAGATGAGCTGGAACACAAAGGTGGGGAGAATACCCAGAACTCCTAGATGGATATGGACAGACATAGGGACTATGACGAGGGATGTTTTTGGAGTATTCAAGACATTTAAGAAGTTGGGCTGACCAAGTCCCCCCCAGAATCCACATATCACTAAAATATCACTTTTGCTTTGGATGGGCAAGGTAAATTCTATTTGACATTTAGAAAGTCCAACCCGCCGAGGCAGTGCTCCAAAATAGGAGAAAACATGGAGTGGCTTGTTTAACAAACCTACTCTTGCACCTCCTGCATTAGTCATGCACAGATGCTTATTATAAGCCTTAGGGCCAGTTCACACCATATGCAGTTGTGATGCAGTCCATTTATTTGACTGCTGCAGTCAAAATACATCACAATGCTTTCCAATGGTCTTTCTTGTGCTTAATTCACACTGCAATGGTGTGAACTGGCCCTTAGAGTAGATGGATGACCTCCTTCTATTTATTACTTGTTATTACTGCTAAGTGTGTTTGATTACATAATAAGGACTAAGTTTCATATACTCTCAAAATTGTAATCCTTTATTGAATGTACTGTGTTACTCTTATTTAAATATTCTGACCATCTCGGGTATTGTTACTGACTTGATCCGCAATTCCCATATGATATATCTGTAACCTTTTAAATGCAGATTGCATTTTAACTCTCCTGGTCCTGTAATCCACTCTATTTTGCCTAGTTTAGGTTGTTTCTGTTTTTTGTAACACAAAATTTAGAAAATTTACATTGTTCTTCTCAATTTACTTGATGAGAAAAATATCTCTTTTGCGTGGACTAACACTTTAAGATCTCTGCAGCCCTCAGTTCATTAATGTGGTCTGAAGATGTGGTCACATCTTTTTCGCCCTGAGGAAGGGACCCTGTGTGGCCCCGAAACGTTGGCATTTGTTATTGTGACGATCTGTCCAATTAAATGGACATATTGAATGCTATTACTGAGTGCTGGTTATCCTTGTCTTCTGCCTTGTATCTGCACGGCGCCATCCGTGGTCATCACTGCGAGCACCACTGTTGCATAGACCGGGAACGTTGTCAGGTGTGTGGAAGGTTCTTCCATCTACCTACATGTCTGTAGGTCCCACAACCTACATGAAGCCAAAAAATATTTTTCCTGCAAAATTGGGACACTAGCTTTAGTGTACAATGCCTTCAAATGTAAAAAAAAAACATGAAACAAATTGTAATATTTTCCAGGCATCTCTTTCATTCCACGCGAGGTTGGTTCACACTTGGTCAGCATAAAGAAGAATGGACGTCATGTGCCTAACAGCCCTATCTCCATCATGGTCTATCAGTCTGAAATAGGCGATGCTAGCAAGGTGAAAGTATATGGACCTGGATTAACTGAGGGACGTACATTTGAGTTGTCAGATTTTGTGGTAGACACCAGAGAAGCCGGTAAGTGTGCTAATGGTATTTCCAAGTTAGTATTCCATACCAAGCTCCATAAATCATTACCTCCATGTTCTCTTTTTTCAGGCTATGGAGGGCTTTCACTTGCAGTTGAAGGACCAAGTAAAGTTGACATTCAAACTGAAGACTTGGATGATGGCACCTGCCAAGTCTCTTACTGCCCAACAGAGCCAGGTGTTTATATTGTATCCATCAAGTTTGCAGATGAGCATGTCCCAGGTGAGGCCAGCCTCAGAAATTTCTACATACACAATTTGGGGTATTAGTAAATGTTTCTCAGGCTTCTTACCAAATGTTATTAAATGTGTATACAGGAAGTCCGTTTACTGCCAAAGTAACTGGAGAAGGAAGAGTGAAAGAGAGCATTACAAGGAGAAAGAAAGCACCTTCTGTGGCCACTGTAGGGGGCATCTGTGAGCTGAATTTAAAAATACCAGGTGAGATCATTTTCACAATTAAACTCTTATATTATGTAAGTTTAATGTATAAACACAATATCTCATATCATGCTGAATATGTAGGCAGGAGGAAACTTATAGGCACTCATGTTTAAATAAAAAGCATAAGCAGATGATACCTAGATAAGGTTTTAAGAATTCCTTTTAACCATGCATGGGATTATACAGAGGAACATGTGATCTAGTGACACCAAGCTGCCCAACATCTCAACTGGAGAAGCAAACAACAAGACATTGTAATAGTTTCTTATGGGATGTAAACAGGAACTCTTTTGGGGGTTCTTGTATTTGTTGGATGTCCCTGAGCAATACAAAATCAGCCGATTGATGTAGAATATTAAACAATGTTTCTGCTACATGGCTTGTATTAATATCTGACTCTATTCCATGTGTACGTTGTTGTATATATTTGTATGTTTTCTTTGTGTTATACTCAGTTACTTGGTTTCAACTGGCCTTATCTCGAGAGGCTCTTTCTCAAACTCAGCATATTACACCATCTTCTGGAATGAAGCAGACTCTCCAAACATCACATCCAAACCTGCTAAGAAATACAACCAGGGCAATAGGGACCGAGGGTGTGTTAGAAAACAAAGCATGTGCTTGTGGATCTTGCATGAACAGTTCAGCTCCAGTAAACTTAAAACATATTGGTTGCTGTGGTTTGCTCCACCTTGCACATCCGCTTGCATACAGTCTTAGGGTCTTGTTATTGTTTTTGCAGTAAAAGATTGCCTGAGTGGGACACTAAAACACAAGGGGCTTGATGCATGATCCAGCAGTAATGCTTTCGATATGCCTAAAGGCCTGTGTCAATTACTTGTGTTTGCATCAGAACTTACTCTTCTTCCCATACAAATCAATAGGTATGCAAATGCAGGATTATTCAGCTTAGAAAGAGCTCAAATGCAGGTCAGAAGGTCATCAATTGCAACTGTCCATGAACTGTGAATATAATGTACAAGGCAAATGCATCTGGAAACATTGGGCATTTGCTCATTTTGACACAAGGCCAAAAACCATCAACACAGGTCCTTCCTTTCAGCTAGAACAGTAATATCACTCAGTACATTGTCTGATAATACCCACTCTACTGATCTAAGAATCAATACTTTCAGGCATTAAAATGTGTAGAAATATTTGCCTGTCTACTGATGGCAACGTCCTGGTTAATACGCAATAGATGGGTGTTGACATGGAGAAAAGGTAATTGTCTGTCATCTGGGTTTAGTGCTGTTTCTATAAAAATATGTGTGTGTTTTATTAATAATAACATAGACATGTGAGATGTAAAATGCTGTAATTTTGAAATACTTGCACTTGCGGAGCATTCAGTTCATGCTTTGAAAGGGCAAAATGACAACAGTTGCCAAAGCAATGCACACTGGGATTGCCTTGTCATCAGCAGAGCATTGCTGGGAAATCTCATCTAATCTTACAAGATCTCAAGGAAAGGCATTTTCCTCCCCTGAGATGATGTGCATGGTCACATGTCCTAGTCACATATGCCAGAAATCCAGGAAGTAAAAGGAGAGCTAGTAATCTGCCCTTAGTGAGCATGGCCACTGTCCAAAGACTGGGGAAGAAAAGAGAACAAAGGTGTGCAGAGAGTAGACAGCCAGCAATTATCTAGAAGTATGTGTTTGTAGATTGTCCTTACTAAACATTTCTAGAGGTGTGTTTGTTGTTATTTTAAAGATATGGGTAAAGGTCCGCTTTAAGCCCATAAAGAATCTTACTATATGCCCTTATAACTCCAGTTGCTGTCCAATATTATGTACTCTACTTAACAGAAAGTCCGCTTTGTGCATAAAAGTACCCTTCCCTACGCGCAAGAGGAATATCTGCAGTTCTTATACTGAAACTTTTCAGATAGTTTTGTAAAAGCTTTTCTTTGTTCTTTTTAGAAGACAGCCTGTGTGTTTATGGTTTATGCATTTTATCCAACCTGTCATCCTTATATTATACAGCAGCCTGCTGAGATTTCTCTGTTTAATGTGTTTGTGATAGATCTCATCTGCCGTAAATGTTAATTTGGCTGAAATGTTAACGTATAGAGTAATTGCTGTATAGTCACACTTAATCAGCACAATTTATAGTCTGATTTAATAGCTTTTGTATAAACAATGTTTACATAGAAATCTTACAGACATAAAGTTAATGTCCATTTTGTCCTGACATAGCTGGACAAATCCAAGAAAATGGGACTTGGCAAATAGAGTTGGAATTAGAGATGACTGGTCAGGGATTAAGTCTAGTTCTAGTTCTTAGCTAAGAAGTTTCCATTTCTTGAGTGAAAAGCATGGAAGGGTAGAAAGGTATAGGAGATTTGGTGGCTTACTCTGTGTGTCGGCAATAGGAACTCAAACCCCTTCCAGTGAACTGTTTGTCCCTCAAGTCAAAAAGGTCCCGTGCTGTTCTCTTTGACAGTTTATATATGCTGCATGTTGCAACATTCCATATCCTTGTGCCTAGTATGTGTCTGTGTGTACATTAGAACCATGATTAAGAACCGTGGTAAAACTGTGTTTGTACACTTCTGGGGCCCCTAACCCAGACCAAACTGCCGGCAAGCCTTGATTTAGCTCCATTTCAGGGCTGTTGCACGCCCTTTCGATCTCCCAACAGCCCTCAGTGCACCTCACTGTCGAGATACCAACATTCTATTTTAGAATGGAGTAGTAGAAGACATAGCTCCTACTTGGACCTAAGTCACAGGCAGTGTAGATATACAGAAGAAGCTCTATCAAGTTTGACTGTCAGGGATTTATTGGCACCATTAAATATGACAAATCATGAAAAATTTACTTTTATCAGTAATTCTTAATTAGAAGCAGCAGCACAATCCCACACATGTATAAATGCGTTGGTGCCCTCTGTTCTTCTAGCTCACAGGTGCCTGTCAGGTTTTAACATTATCAACGGTATATTCTGTTCTTGCCTGCCCATGGTTACTGGATTATATTGATAGTGTAACGAGGGGGCAGGTCTAGGAACAAGAAAAGCTGCATAGAGACTGCTTGTGTCTATACAAATATAAACTGTCATGTCAAAGAGTCTACACAAATATGGCAACCACGTTACAGCACCACAGCAATATGAAATGCATGAAAAAGTGGGCCTAGACAATAGAGTTTTGTGGTAGTGCTATATCATTCACTATTGACTTGTCTTGACCTGTTTGTAGGATACTTTTGCCTGAGTCTAGGTCTACTTTGATGAACATGCGCTAGTTAAAATAACTTTCACTAGATCCACATCAAGGTTTGTAATGCATAACTAAAACTTGTGATTCTTTGCGAAGATTCATTTTAACACCAGTAGTAACCAGGAAGTAATGAGAAAGCATTGCTTTGCCTTTGTACAACGAAACCATTATTTGATATTTTTGATACTTTGATATTATTACTTACACCAAGCTGACCCCTTTTAAACTTGAACTGTGTATCTAAAAAAAAAAATTTAAATGACTCTACATTCCCCTTTAAATTCATTAATGTAGTTTAGCTTTGATAGAGAAAGAAAGGCATTTCTCTGGCTATCATGTTAACTCTTATCAATGTCTTGGGTTTTCTGTCATTTGTGAAATACAATCCCTTTACGGAAATGACAGGGAGACAGAACAGGACCTATTCTGATTGGATCTAGTGACGGCTATCATTCCTAGCGCTGGCCATCCAAGCATGAAACATGCTAGCTGAACAGATTATTGCTGTTTGTATGGTATTGCAGTGTTTTCTTCTGGGGCTTTTTGCCTGTGCATTGATTGCTAAGCCATTGTGACTGTCACATTCTAATTGGCTTCTAGCTGCACTTAGTTTGACCATTTTTGTTTTGTCTTTCTAGAAATTGACAGGAGAGAAATAACAGCTGAAGTCACCAGCCCATCGGGACAGACGACCGAGGCCGAAATAGTGGACCTGGGCCAGAATACGTCTTGTGTGCGCTTTGTTCCCCAAGAGATGGGTGTGCACACAGTCAGTGTAAAATACAGAGGGGAGCATGTACCAGGCAGCCCATTCCAGTTCACTGTGGGGCCCCTGGGAGAAGGTGGGGCTGAGAAGGTGAAAGCTGGAGGTCCAGGCCTGGAGAGAGGGGAAACTGGTATTCCAGGTGAGTAATGTACCCATAAAGAAAAAAAAAAATAGGATGTACCAAAAAGAAAGCCATAACATTAAAACGCCACCAGATGATTGTTGCCTGATTTAGGCATGGTATAACTACATCTAGCCCTAGGGTTGCCACCTGTCCAGGATTCACCCGGACAGTCCGGGTTTTGAATGCTGTGTTCGGGTTTCATGGCAGCAGAAACCCGGACACAAGATGTCAGGCAGACAGGGGCAACCAAAATTAATATAGGGGCTACTGGCCCCCCACTGAAAATAGTCTCTACTGTGATATTTACATATGAATTGGCGGCACTTTTTACATATGAACAAGCCACGACTCATTCTCAAAAATGACCATGTGTCGCTGGAGTGTTCGGTATTCGCTTGAAGAAAAGGTGGCAGCCCTAGCAAGCCTTGTGGTTCCAATTGTAACCAATCAGATTCCAACTGTCATTTTTCTATTGCAGAGTAGAACACGAAGGTGATCTTGCGTAGAAAAACACCTCTTATGTTTCTTCCTGTTTTATTTATTTATTTTGTAAAGTTTCTTTCTCAGAAGTTCCGCAAACAGGTTAATTGGAAATATTGGATGTAACACAGCATGTTGCTATTTTTTTCCTCTTCTCCAGCTGAATTCAGTATATGGACTCGGGAAGCTGGAGCTGGCGGTCTGTCCATTGCAGTGGAGGGGCCCAGCAAAGCAGAGATTTTATTTGAAGACCGTAAAGATGGATCCTCTGGCGTGTCCTATGTTGTACAAGAACCTGGTGTGTATTGGCTAAATATTGTCATATACAATGTTTTTAAATGCTATTTTAGGAATGGAAATTTTTAAGGTTTTTAAAATGGGACTGTAAACTGCAATCTTCAGCTTTTTGAACCCTCCGCTGAGAACTGTAAATGAATTCTGCTTTCTCATTGCTCACTAGAAGGTGAGATTCAGGGTTCAATTGTTTCACCTCCTGTTGATATGCTGCATTGTGCTGTGACTATCAAGATTTTTTGTGCTGTGTGTGTCTAGCCATAAACGGTGTGATCCCACCCCAAATATGACACTAAGAGAGGATCAAGACCATTATAAGTACAGCTTGTGTCGAAAAGATAACCTTTCGGACCTTAGAAACAGTTGTTTTCACCAGCAGACATTTTCCAGCCATTTGGACACCAGTGGTTCTTTTTTTTCTTTCAAGAAGTAGGCAATGGTTAAACCCCCTGCAGGTTTTTTTAATTCTATCTATATATGATTATGTAGTTTTTCCTTCACATTCTGTCCTGTTGACACCAGGAAGTTAGAATCCACTTCAAAGTAGAGGGAAATCACCTATTAGGTGGTTGTCATTATAACAAGTGTCCTCATTGGAAGATTTCCCCTCCTATTCCTGTTCTGGTAACAACTTCAAATTTTAGATTTTTCATCAACTTTCAGTCCCAATGGCAATATTCATTAGGACAAATAGAGAGGTTAAATCTCTGCAACAGGACACAGACAGCAATAAATACTGAGGTTAAATAAAAAAAGGTTCTAATCCCTCACCACTATCAAAAATGGAAAATAAAAAAGGTTTATAGGGCAAAGCATGTCTGCAGATGTTGACGCATTCCATTACTTATGCTTATTTGGCTCTGTAACTATTTTTCTTTCTTTCTTATTCCAGGTGACTATGAAGTGGTCATTAAGTTCAACGATGAACACATCCCTCAAAGTCCGTTCCTGGTTCCCATCATCGCTCCATCTGATGACGCTCGAAGGCTTACTGTCTCTAGTCTTCAGGTGAGGCACAAGGAAACATCCCTTCTGTCTGCCAACCAGTGACCCATTAAATCCTTGTTTACTAATATATCAAACCGAGATAAGCTTCACTTCAGACAGGAAACCAGTTTACTCTTTGCCAAACACTTACAGAGAAGCACTGTTACTTAAAGGAGAACTATCAGGTGGGTGATTTTCACTCAACCTCATAGTTCGAGCCGAAGTGTGACAATGAAACTGTCACACGTCGGCTCAGTAGATCGGGAAGTGAGTGAACACATACCGTCGCCCGCTCACTTCTCGGTCCTGTCACTGTCACGGCTCCCTGCGGGGATTCCCCCCCTCCCCGCTCCTCCAGTGTTGACTGGAGGAACGAACGGGGGAGGGGGTGGGTACAGCTGGCTCGGCCTCTGGATAGGCAGAGCCAGCTGTCGACCACACAGCTGGGTTGATCTCGACAGTAATGTCGGGATCCATCCCAGCTGTGGTGGACAGCTCGCGGTATACTGAGCTTTGGGTCACGGAAGGATGCTAGTTTATGTCCTCCCGTAACCCTGAGGAGAACTATGGGGAAAAACACTGACCTCATAGTTCTCCTTTAAACTCAATCCTAAGTATTTTTTTTGTTTTGGAAAAGTGGGGAATGATTATAACCTCGGTCAGGGTTGTTTTTTGCTTTCTTCGTCTTTTAGGAATCTCTTCCAAAATTCCTGTCTTGGTAACTACTTTAAAAAAGGACCGGAAGTTGACTTTCCCCAGTGGAAATGCAGACCGTAACAATTTGGCAGAGCTTCTAGGCTTTCCCCATACAATCCAAACTGGTGTGTGGGGTTTCATGTTTTTTGCTGGATAAGTAGAATAATATATAATGTTCCTTTTAGGCTTATTTTAACTAAAATTCTATAAAGATTGACCGTAAACATTTAAGAAAACATGTTTTCGAACTCACTGAATGGCCCTTTTTATCATCTTGTGAAACATATATGCCAGGAAATCTTTGAACTCCTGGGATTCCTTATTATTTAGTAGTCTCTTCCCAAAATAATGTTCTTGAACTCTATGTTCAAGGATTTTCAGGTATATGGATGCACCCCTATGGCCAAGCCTTGGTTGTTATGATCTGTAAGAGATTTGACAATACAGGTAAGGCAAAACCCTAATCAGCCAGGCAGTTGGTGTCTGAGCTAAAGCTTCCATATTGTATATGAGATGTCAGAAGCATTCCTGCAATAACACACAGCTATGTAATAACATCGATGATCTCCCCAGTAGGCGACATTGTCACTTAGAACTTCTGTGGACATTTCAGATGTGTTTTTTTATGCTTACATTTATTAAGGATTGTTTAACAAGGTCATTAATTGGTCACAGTTGCATTTTGGTGTTTTTCTTGTGTTTCATTTAAAGACCTTTGACAGCTTATTTTCCTCCAAAGTACAGTTATTTGCTAAAGAGGGAGACAACTCATAATGCTTTTAATAAGTGCACTGTATTGTATCTTTACATAATGATACAATGCTGAGCCCTCTTTGGCATTTAGCTGGGATATATGGTAACCGCAACATATAGAGATGTTTATATTATGTCTATTGTGCTTTTACAGTTCTCTTTCAACTGATATAAATGGGAGTGCAGGTACAATTAGAATTATGTACAATACTTTATAGAGGTGTTTTTTTGGTTCCTTTTGTACTGCCTCACCACAAGCTTAAAGTGACACTAAACTCAGGAGGTAAATCTTAAAAATACATTCAAGTACCTTAACTATTAACAAAAATGTATCTTATTTGTGTATCACTCGGCTGTAGATGCTCAAATCCTCTCTGAATTGGTGCTGACACTTTCCTTCCTTCTGGAGGGGGCTACATTTGTTCCCCATGGTCCCTGTGTGTGTTGTAAAGTAGCCACTGCTACAAGCTCACTCCCGTCATGGACCACAATCTCATGTTTGAGATTGTAGTCCATGACGGAAGTGAGCTTGTAGCAGTGGCTACTTTACAACACACACAGTGACCATGTTGTTTAAAAGTAGCCACCCTCCAGAAGGAAGGACAGTGTCGGTACCAATTCAGAGATGATTTGATCCACGTGATACACAAATACGTTCCAGTATTGTTAAAAGTTAAGGTACTTGAATGCCTTTTTTAAGATTTAGATCCTGAGTCAAGTGTCACTTTAATGGTTGTACTGTTCACCTGGGCTCACAAGCCCTACACTAGAGAGCCAGTAAAGCCATATCTTGCAGTGATGAGGACAAAGAAGCCTGAAATAGCTGTAAGAAAATTGGCATTCTTGGCTCTTTAAATCATGGCTATATCTGTGCTATACACCAGCAGTTCTAGATGTACAGATAGTTAAAAGGGGCAAAAATGGGTAATTGGCATGACACCATGCACTTACCTATAAGCAGAGACTGAGCTCCTTGTTTTTGGGGTTTGTGCTGGAATGAAGATGTGTAAATACATTTTTCTATAAGTAGGCATTGTTGTATCTCACAGTGCTTAAGTGGTGGGCTTTTCGGATGCTTTTGTACTACCCCACCATGACCTTAATGTGCTGTGTTAAAATTAAGGCCAAATTCTGGAAAATAATGATCATTTACACAATGCACTGGGTGTGTAAAGTATCATTAAAGAGCTGCTTGTTATGTGTGGAGGGCCCCTGCACAGTTTAAAAATATATCCTTGCAGCCTGCTAGTGCCTACACATAACACTAGGCTTCTGGAGAGTGAGGGATGTGACTCGAGCAGGGAAGTGCTCCGGTCCCATCACCTGTCCCTCCTCACTACTTGCCCATTCACAAAATGCCATGTATTTCATTCAAAGAATGCAAGGTTTTTTCTGATTGGAGGGTGTGGGGATATATAATCACCCCTCCTCCATTCACAGAATGCTTTGTAATGTTTAGGAAAAATACAAAGCATTTTGTGGGTAGGTTTTGTGTAGGGCATTTATTATACTTTGCAGCGGCCCTCCAGGCATAACATGCAGCTTTTTAATCATAATTTATACACACACATAATTTTCCCCAGAGTTTGGCTTTAATTCCTATGTCAGATGCATTTGCCAGAAGCTGCAGCCAGATTGCAGAATTTAAAAACACACACCATGTACATAGACAGACATACGCAGAACTGGCCTTCCAGCATAATACTTGGATGTGCATTGGAAGTGTAAGTTGACCCTGACTGCACTTTAGAAAAAAACCCTGTGGACAAATTGCTGAAGTACAGTAAGAGCATGTTCACATTGCCATTCACTTGGGTTGGTGAATAAAGTTAGGTGTTAAGGTCCGGCTGTGAATTCTTGAGGACAAGAATCTGCAGATTCCTGTGGCTGGAATCACAGGCCACTTCTAGACAGCTGAAGCCGCGCTCGGGTGCATTTATACTTGGAGCAATTACCTGCGGTTAAAGACCGATGACCGCCCCTGGATACAGATTCTCACGACGGTAATCCGCAGCTGGACTAATTTGAATGAGCCTTAAGCTGTTTTTCACCTTGAATACCTAAATGCGTAAGGAAAATTATAGAAACATAATTTTTACTTCACATGGTTGAATAGTGGAAGTCGGCACAGCTTCACCCAATTTACTAAACTAAGTGAACATTTACTTTGCAAAGTACACAGCCTGTGCTCCTTTTGTAAATCAACCCAGTGTCTTTGGTGGAGTTAGGCAGCACTTAAATATTGCTTGCCTGTCTTCCTCATTGCTCCTATTCATTCATTACAAATTGCTGTGCTGCGTCTTTCTGCTTCCCGTCAGGTTCTGTATTCAGATCAGTGGGCAGATGTGACTCACAGCATTGCAGACAGGAGATAGAAATGTGTGGGGTGTAGAAAGAGATCTGAGTAACATTTAGACATTTGGAATCCTAATTTTAGACAGTTGTAATAGGAACCGGTGTCTCAATTGGAGGATTTATCCTCACGCCTTGCTTTAGTGACAACTCTAACATTTTGGATTTCCAGTCACTTTTTGCCCCAGGAACAATGGTCACCAGAACAAATATAGGGTGAATCGTCTAGTGGAGACACATGCAGCCATAAAAATCTAATAGAGGGTCTAACCCTTCCACAATTTATTTAAAGGAGAACTATGAGGCGAGTGCTTTTCACTCACCTCATAGTTCTAGCCGACCTGTGACAATGAGACTGTCACAGGTCGGCTCAGTAGATCGGGAGGTGAGCGAACACATACCGGGTTCGCTCACCTCTCGATCCTGTCACGGCTCTCTGCCGTGACCGGGGAGGGGCTGGATTCCCCTCTCACCGCTCCGATCCGCCAGCGCTGACTGGCGAAACGGACGGGGGAGGGGGCGGGTAGAGATAGGCAGAGCCAGCCTCTAGATAGGCAGAGCCAGCTGTCACTCACGCAGCTGGGCGGATCTCGACAGCGATGTCGGGATCCGCTGCGGCGTCTCAGTATACCGCGAGCTGTAGCTCGCGGTATACTGAGCCTAGGGTGACGGGAGGACGCTAGTTTGTGTCCTCCCGTTACCCTAAGGAGAACTATGGGGAAAAGCCCTGACCCCATAGTTCTCCTTTAAAGCAAAATAAGAATTCGGTAGCCATGCACCGGCACCAATACTTGTATCAGTGCCGATACCGAGTATTTGGGCGAGTACTCCTACTCACCCAAATGCTCCGATACTTGCCTCCAATACCAGAACTCCCAGGAGAGGGCAGAGGGAGCATCGAGCCGACTTCCTTTCCAATCAGGGAGCCGGGCGGTGGGTTATGACCCATCTCCCGGCTTCCTGATTGGCTAGGAAGCAGGCTTCACTTGTTTTAGGCTGCCTGGCTTCCTAACCAATCAGGAATCCAGGCAGTACGTCATGACATGCCTCCCGCCTTCCTGATAATCGAGGCACACGGCTCCGGTATCGTTACTTGGTATCAGCGTGTACCGAAAAAAAAATATCGGTACTCGAGACCAAATACCGATATGGGTGCATCCCTAGAATTCAGTATACTGTTTAATGTTTAAGATAATTGCTGTTCAAACCTTAATGAAGTTATTTTTCCCTTGAAGAAAATATTGTCGTGGATGTCTTCTCTTTTTTTATGCCTCTAATGTCTGTGGTTGTGATTGTCAGGAGTCTGGGCTCAAAGTCAACCAACCAGTATCATTTGCTATCAGACTGAATGGGGCTAAGGGCAGAATCGATGCCAAGGTGCACAGTCCCTCTGGAGCAGTAGAAGAGTGCCATGTGTCGGAGCTGGAACCAGGTGAGGCCAAAGAGTGCAGAATGCAGGAGATGTTATTTATTTCATACAAGACTGCTGGGGAATGTCAGTACAGTCAAAGTGTGCTATATATTTGTCAATCAATTTTCCACCCAGCATCTTTGACAAAAGATGATTGAAAAATCGAATTGTGTTCAGCCAGGTGGTTCTGGAAGGGCCACCAAGAGATTGAATTTTGTCTGAAGCAACAGGAAATGGCCAATAGATTGATCCTTGTATGGCCACTTTAGGGACGGTTAACATTGCTGTTACCTATGAGATAGTAAACCTTCCATTTTCAGTTCAGGCCCACTTTAAATTCTAGCACTATTTGTCAGCTGTTTTCTTTCCTTCTGGTTTTCTTTTGTCTGATACTTCCTTTCAGATGCTGCCATAGGTGCTCATGCATAACTCTGTACTCTAACAGATATGTATGCACATACTGTTACTTGCCTTTTGATGTGTGCCCATGCCTAATACAGATAGTTTTAATTTTAGGAGTAAATCCGTAGAGAGATGGTAGGTGTGAGAATGCAGTTTTCAGGATGTATGTCAACTATTACTGGACCTATCACTAAAATTTCCACCTCACATAAGCTAATAGGTTATAGGTCAGCATTACCAAATCATTCTTTTTTTTGTTTAAAAAAAAAAACTGCCTCTTTCATGGCAAATAATTAAAAAGAAATCTGAACTGATTCCCCTTAACATACACAAATGGTTGCATGATTTCCGCCTATGAGGAACATTGTGGGAGATCATACAGACTCCATCAAGTATGTTGCTTTCAATTAGACAGCCCCTTCTTCGTAGACATTCATTGGAATAAAAGGATGAGCAGAAAGCAGAGGATGCAACTTTAATGACCTGGACCCCTGGATATATTTATTAATAGACTATACAGAAGTACATGAGTATTGTATGTTGAGTGCATAGTATGCACACTTTATTAAGTTTAGATATTTTATTGTTTTCTCAGACAAATACGCCGTGCGTTTTATTCCACGTGAGAATGGTATTCACACAATTGATGTGAAGTTCAATGGTAGCCATGTCCCCGGAAGCCCCTTCAAAGTGCGAGTTGGAGAACCTGGACAGGAAGGTGACCCTGCACTTGTGACAGCGTATGGAGCCGGATTGGAGAGAGGTGTTACAGGTAGGCTAACGTTTCATTTCGGCTAAGATGGAAAAATTCTTATTTCTTGTAGGCCAAAATAAATAATAACCTCATTATCATAAAAAATAAATAAAATGTGGAAAAGCCACAAAAAATACACAACCATTTCTGTGTATTTTTTGTGGCTTTTCTACACAGCATGTCAAGCATATTTGACACTATGTGCACAGTTTACATATTTGTTCCTCTCCTGGGAAGCCAAAAGAGCAGAATTAACTGTAAACCTAGAGGTGCATGTTTAATGTATATTTTGTGGTTTGCATTAGCCATTAATCCTGAGGCAGTCTATTATGAAACTCTCCACCAGCTCTGATGGTTGAGGACTTTGGCCTGCCCCCTCCTTCCACATTACTTGCCCACAGCTATGACAAACAGCTGCATTGATTTATAGTGGTGTGGAAACGCTCAACTGTTAGACTTGATGATTACATAATAAGGCACCCTTAATTTGATGGTTCCAAAGCATGTGCACATGCATGTTGACTCTACTGGGTTCTCACTTTCTGTATCTACAGCTGATTTAGCACTTTTAGGGCTTGTGTAGATGGCCATTTAAAAGGCTATCCAAATTCTACCTGCATTGGCTTAGAGCAGCCAGTGAATTTGCCCCTCTTGGACCTGAAGATTAAATTCAATAAGCCTTACAAGCACCACTCCCTCTGTGTGTACTCGTGCTTGGTGCTTTTGCCAAGCATTGTGTACAAAAAAAAAAGTACTCACCTGATTTGTGGTCCCACCTGGCTGCCAGGCCGGTCCCCCGAGGATCAGTTGAGTACATCTTTTTTTTATTTTCGACCCTAGACCAAATTGAGCACTTAACCCTTGCAGTGTGGGGCTGCACCCACTGCAGGGGTTAATTTTGTACATGCCTGGAGTTCTTCTTTAAGACGATGCAATATCTTGACAGTGAGGCAGGTAGTATTTTGACAAGAAAAAGATTGCAATGGCAGCCTACCTATTTGTCTGCTTAGGTTTTCTTGAACATGACCAGGGGGTTTGAGCAAGCATTGCAGGACAGATTGTGAGGTCTTTGGTGACTTCTGCTGTACGGATAGTGTAACTGCATTTTCTCCTTCCCTCTCCATATTCCACTGCCCTGTGACATTAATGGCACATCATGCATATCAGCTGTGTGCAGGCAGCAGAAGTTTGTGAGTGCGGATAGATATACTGACAGTTTGATGGTTCGGAAATGACGGCAAGTCCTCCTACTGTCAGCCTGTGTATGTCAGATAAGCCCGCAGCATATTCATCGTTGTGTACAGTCTTGTTTTACAGCAGATGTTCTTATTCATTAATTCCATTGAACATAAACATGATGAATGTGTACAAAGGGACGGTATTAGAGGATGCTAATTTTAGCTGCTGTTTACCGTGGAAGAAACTGTGCCATGGATGGAACATCTGCATTATGTGGGCAGCTTGATAGTGGATTCCTTATCCTGTCACAGACTAGCAGTAACTCTGTTTTTAAAATAGGAACAGATTTATTTTTGCAATGCATTTCAGTTACTGCTTTGATCTGGTTGTTATGGACAACACTGGATTTTCAGTGTAAACTTTAATATGGCATTTCACAGTATGACGACATCTCTCTTTCTACAGCCCCATGCTGGACCTATGTAGCTTCCTGGCAGCTGCATATGTGCAGCAGCTTGAGGAAGCCCAGAGGAAGGGAACCTCAAAGGACATTAGCTCAGTGTAGAAAAGTGCTTCTCAACTCAACATTGGCTGCCAACAGGGAATGCTTTTCAGGCAGCCAATCTTAAAGGGTTAGTTCACCTTTGTATTAAAATGAACTATGAAATAAAGGGGCCCCAGTACTTGTCAGAGGACAGAGGACATATCAGAGGGAGAGATACTGGAGGGATGCCCTGGATGCTGATGCCAAACCTAATAATTCTTACCTCCCAGATTCTGCGTATGACACAGCGACACTCTCTCAGCGGAAGGTGACTGGCCAGACTTTAAGGAAGTCACACTTATCTTACAGCAATATAATTTAAAGTAAGCTCATTCTTTTTCTTCTCTGAACAATGCTTTTTGAAGTACTGGGCGCCCCTTATTGCAGAGTGAATTTTAATACAAAGGTGAACTAACTCTTTAAGTAATTTGTAGTCGATCAGAGGAACTGTGTTTAAAAAAAAAATGTAAGCTACCATTCCACGGTTTAAGGAGAAGGCCTCGATGAGCAGTAAAGGTACTGTCACTGGACAACAGTATAGCATTTGGTGGAGCTTAGCCACCAACTCAGGCCCCTGACAAAAGGAATTAAAAAAACGGAGGGACAAAAGGGAGTTTTCTAACCAATGCTGTAAGGTGGGTTGTCACTCAAGGTTTTTTGAGTCCATAGTCATACCTAGAAAGCACAAAAGACCCGAGTATTTCTCCTTAAATAAAAGTGCCTTTTAATTGCATCTATGGTTAAATCAACCACACATGTATGTGCTTAAGCATTTTGGGCAAGTGTTTACACATCGAAAACTAGCTTAGGTTGCATTGCTTTAAATAAGGGCTTGTACACATTGAAACATACAAGCCCAGAAGTGTTTTGCTAGTTTTAACCAAGGATACAATAAAGATGGCTCTTTATTCAAACAGGTGATTGCCTGGCTAACAAAAGAGTATATGTGCATGTAAGATGAATTTGGTTTAACAACTAAACTCTCTGAGCTAAATGAAATACATGAGGCCATTGGAGGGCACTAACACTGCAAAAGAGTTCTTCAAGCTCAGATTAAAGTTCAGGACCCCATAGGTTTTCTGTTACTAGCGATAAGACATTCTCTGTAATTTAACAGTTCATCACGTCCGTATGTGGACACCTTTTCAAATGATAGAATTCAGGTATTTCCAGTGACTGGTACTGTTAATGTATACAAAGATAATTTTGACAAAATTGTGTCCCAGCCTTGTGGCAACCGTTTGGGGAAGGCCCTTTTCTAGTCCAGCATAACATTGCCCCTGTGCACTAAACCAGGTCCATAAATACATAGTTTGACATGTTTGTTGTGGAGGAACTTGAAGCCCTAAACAGACACCTTTGGAACAAACAAGAACACCTATTGCGGGCCAGGTTTATAGTGGCTGACCTCATAACTGTAGATGCTCTTTTGGCTGAATGGCCACACATTCCTGAAGGCACCCTCTAAAATCTTGTTGAAAGCCTGCCCAGAACAGTGGAGATTGTTATAGCTGCAAAGGCGGGTGAGAAACCCCATATAAATCTCCATGGTTTTGGAGTGGGATGTCCAACAAGCTCATATTGGTGAGTTGGTCAGGTATCCACAAGCTTTTTTTGTGTCCACAAAATATAAAAAAACAATGGCAGCTAATGCTATAAGATCTTCTACAGGAGTCAACATCTAAAATTCCTACAACCTGCTCGTGTTTCCTGTTTGTACAAGAATACAGTCAGATCTTTCTGATTCTTGTATTGACGGGCTAATATGAATCAATAAGACCTACTGCTCTGTCACCTTCCGTGTCAGACAATAATAGCTTCACTCAGTATCATTTCAAAGCATCAAATCCAGTCAGGTTATGGGAGAATGGAAGTTAATTTATCAAAGTTTAAATCTGGTTGCTGTGAAACAGAATCAACCAAGAAAGTTTAAACACTTCAATAACTGTAGCCCATTGTCCTTTACATAAATCCGGACTTGGTAACCTGTTCCAACGTGGACAGTTATTGTAGTAATTTTTTTCTGACCACTTTTCCCTGACAGGTAAACAGTCAGAATTCACCATCAATACAAGTAAGGCAGGGCCGGGGGCCCTCTCTGTCACCATTGAAGGACCATCAAAAGTGACCATGGAATGTAAGGAGTGTTCAGAAGGCTACAAAGTCCTATATACTCCAATGGCCCCAGGAAACTACATGATTGGAGTCAAATACGGAGGTCCAAACCACATCCTGGGAAGCCCATTCAAAGCCAAAGTAACAGGTGACTGTCAAGTGGTGATTGTGAAGTATTTGGGACTTCTTCATATGTATGTGGGTGTGCATTGTAATTGGGAATAATAGTCCGTTGTACTGTAGAAGGGAAAAGGACAGCACTGTGAGCCAGCCAGCTATTGCTCAGTGCTATCAGTCTAACACTGGAAGCTTGTTGTTAGGAGGACAGGGCAGACTAAAACTCTCAGCTTTGCTGTAATGCTCCCATTAGGTCCTAGTCTGTATGATGAAGGACTATTGTAATGACCATTTTATTTTATAACTGCATTGGATAAAAGTAAGTTCTTTGTCCTCACTGTGCTGGTTGGCAGGGGTGCCTGTCCAGCTAGTGTTGAGATTAAAATTTAACCAAATCTGTAATGCTGTTCCAGTAGTTTTGTAAACGCTTTGTGAACATGGATCTGTGGTTTTAGCCATGTTCTCTACTTTAAGAAAAATATTTAGTGAAGTTCTAAATGTTTCCTACAACCTAATGCATCATACCCCCAAAAATGGTGAGAATACTGTAGTTGTCATTTATGAACGTCTGTTGTTCAGGTCGTTTAGCCCCTTTTGTGCTGGAAGGGAAGCAGATGCCAAAACTTTCAGTCCAGGAAGGTAATGCTAGCAATCTGTGTGTTCCCAGTCCTAATAACCAATGTCATAATGTGTTCTGTAATGCCTGAGTGGACAATGAATATGGAATTCAGGAGCCAGTCGGATTTTATTTTAGAATCCTGCTCCCTTGAGAACCACTACAGAAAACCTCAAACGTTTTGCGCCAGCTGTATTTTTTAAGTAGCATTGGCAACCTGGCTCCTGGGATTTGTCCAACCCTGGCGTAATCTATTAACAGTAACTACATAAGGGCAAAGTGACTTATTTCTACAACAAAAACCAACCTAACCTGAAACTTACATGGCTGAAAGTGGATGAAGGAAAAACTGCTTTGATATCAATAGCAGCCAATCAGATTCTACCTGCCGGGTTTGTAGAATCTAAGCAAAGGGGAATGCACGCAGTTCTTCCTTGAGACTCTTTCATAAGTAAAGCTCATTATGACCTTTGTACTGTAACACAGAAGCACTAACGTGGTATATATGTGGTATGGAGATGACATAGATCATCAGTGTAATCCAGTGTCTGATGTCCTGAATATTCCCGTCTTCCATACTGTATACTTTACTCTCTTATGTGTAATCTCTACAGGTCAGAGGCTTGTTAGTGCTGGCAGCATCAATGAGACTTCATCTATAATCGTGCAGTCTGTGACTCGCGCCTCCACAGAGACCATCTATAGCGCACTGCCCAGGTTTACATCTGATGCCAGCAAAGTCTCATCGAAAGGAGCCGGCCTGGCAAAGGCTTATCTAGGGCAGAAAAGCAGCTTCACTGTTGACTGCAGCAAAGCAGGTATGAAATCAAACCGATGTGATCATTGCAGAATATTATTGTGAGATAATCTGCAGTTCCATGGATGACCCCTGGGTGATGTCATAGCACTACGCTCAAACCAAACTGTGTTTCTTAGTTTTTGGTTCTCTTTTTCATTCTGTCTTTTTTCCCTTTTTTCTGCAGTGCTTCGCAATCCAGTGTCCCACCATTATGTAGACATGCAGACAATTTGGGAGGAAAACGGAGCCCTAGCGGAGAACACATTTAGGCCTCATTCACACGAGAAACAGCCGGCATGTACAGCTCCGTGCTGCATGCGCACCGTATCGGGCAGCTCCCGTGAAGGACAGGTGCTGCGTGTGATTGTCCTTCTCTATGGGAGTACGCCCAACGCTCACCGCTCTGCACCTCCGTGTGGGTGTCCATACTCGTACGCTGACAGGATGGATCCTGTCTGCGTCCAAGCCGGGACACCCGCACCCGTACGGACCTGCACTTGGGGTGAGCATAGGGCTGCGTGTGGCCGCATAATCCCATAGAGAAGGACACGGGCTGCATACTAATCACACGCAGCACCTGTCCTTCCTGGGAGCTGCCTGATATGGTGCGCACGGAGCTGTACGTGCCGGCCTTTTCTCATGTGAATGAGGCCTTACACAAAGGGAGAATATGCATATTTTATACAATTGGTGAACCCAATACCTCGGTGCAGCAAGGCAGAAATGCTAAATATTTAACCCTTTTATGACCTGAGGTCATTGATTCCTGAAAACTCAGGCTAAATTGAGCTGCATCGGTTAACTTGACAGTAACTCTTCAACTAATTTAAATGCCCACATCATTTTTAGATATTTTTAAGGACATATAAGACTTTTATATGGGGTACTGTTTTATTCCACACCATGTTTTTTTGTTTGTTTTTGTTTTGTTTTTTACTACAGGCTTTCAAATGCATAAACATTAAAAAAAATATGAATTTTAATTCTGGACTATTGCAGTATTAAATATGGCACTGCAGATGGTACTGTAGCCTGACGGTGACAGTGTTTAGTCCCTTTCATGTGGGCATTCCTGTCTGTCCATTTTTTGACCCGTGATTGGACAGATCGAAAAAGGACTGAAATGTATCCCTAGGGGCCACTAAGTATAAGCGGATGGCCATTTGTTTCTATCTGCTTACATCCAGGTCGGGTTCATCTGACTGAAATGCAAGAAGTTTATGTACAGGCCCGCTTTTGCAAATCTGACCAGATGTGGGCAGGTCTAGGCGGACACATGTTTGTTTACATCCAACCACCCATAGGCATTGCATAGGTCCGTTTTTCCTCCATCACAAGATGAAGGAAAAATCGGTACAGACAAGGAAGTCACATATATGACACCTGCCCCTGTTCTGATCTGTCTCAGCAGGGGATCAGTTTAGGATGCCCTGCTGAGACAGAACAGAGGGTGCCCTTGTAAAAAGGCCTACATTTGCATGCTGAAGGCTTTTATTGTCTCATTAAAGCCTTCAGCCTTCTTAAGATCACATGATTATCAGCAGATCACATGATCAGAAACCGCTGTGATTGGTTCCTAATTGTCAGTGACCTCTGGGAATAGGAGTCACCAGCTGTGCAAATTATTTGCTACTGACTCTCAAAGGGTGAATGTTGTAAATGTATCCCAGCATGGGGCATTGTGCTTGGAAACATTTATATACAGTTTGCAGATGGGAAGGTGTTAACCATCATTTTGTGCTGCAACTGTCACTTATATCTGGGACAAGTTTGATTTAAACCAAAGCATTTTACATTGTTTGTCATCTATGTAATTCATAAATGGGATGTTGCATATATGGAAATATAAGAACTATAGAATAGCTTTTCACAAAATCCCATGTCTTAAAACACCAACAGGGTTATTCACAAAAGGGTGAAGGGTTTGGAGAAGGCAGGAGAAGAGAACAATCTAAGACAACATAGCTGAACTGGAAAGTGAGAGGAATAGGAGAATTCTTCCAAATCGGCTATTTTGGCCTAGATTCACTTCTCCTGCCTTCTCCAAACCCTTCACCCTTTCAGGAATAACCCTGCAAAACTGCACTGCTCTTCGGCCACTGCAGTTCGACCAGTCAGATGGGTCTAATACCTAGTGCCTCTGCTGCACGCAATGGTTCTTCTTGTCGACTTGTATGTCCTCTAGTAGCTTTCAAGCGGTTAGGAGAAACCACTGAATGCGGGAGAAGAAGCAAGTTTTCCAACCCCGGAAGTGTGGAATTAATATTTGTGGCTCGAAATGCTGCTTTTTCAATGCTGTCTCAAAGACACAAACACCCTATGGTGACAGGGTCACTTTAGGCACTTTTTGAAAGATGAAAAGTGACTTAAGCCTGGTACAAACCGCTGTTGGCACCCTTCCGGCCGAAATCTCTTAATTAGCTGATCGAAGTAGTCGGTTGGAGAATTCTCGGCTGAACGGAGCTGGAAGCCAATCAGATTTTCACTAGAAACAGCAGGAGATTCCTCCATCAACGTGCATAACTGTTGATGGAGGAATCTGTTCTATTTTCTTCATTCAGCGCGCTGATTGGACCGAGAAAATATATACGCGTACACCTGGCTTTACACTGCAATACTTTCACAAAAGAAAATGTATTTACTTTTTAATTGACTTTTCCTTTCAATATCGTTCCAGGTTCTAACATATTATTAGTCGGCGTCCACGGACCCACAATCCCCTGTGAAGAAGTATCCGTGAAACATCTGGGCAACAAGCAATACAACGTCAACTATCACGTGAAGGAGAAGGGAGACTACACCCTGGTGGTGAAATGGGGAGAAGAGCACATCCCGGGGAGTCCCTTCCACGTCACCGTCCCTTAAAATCCCCACACTTGATTCCTGGCAGAACAATATCAAAGACCTGTAATATCTGATCACACAGAGCCGACATCTACAGAATTCTGAGAAATTGGGGAAGAGAAACTTTCATTGTAATTTTATATATGACTTTTTTTTTTATACTAGGGAGATGGAAATTTGTATGCGAGTTTTAGGTGTCCTTGTGATAATTTAAATAGCAGATCTCTACTTTTGGAAGGGCTTATTTATACTTGTCGATGTTGTTTAACCCTTTGTCTGCCAAGTAGAATAACTGGTTTGTGGTAAATATGAATATCGGAAGGGGACCAAATTAATGCGTAAGAATGATATGATATTGAACTGGAATATCCACCCGTGATCGGTTATGTAATGCAACTACTGATTTATTCAAATTTGTAGTCCTCAATCTATTGTCCAGTGCAAATCTGTAAACGGGGTTTAACTCTGGTACTTTTCATCAAAGTGATGTTTGTAAATTTAGCCTGTAGTGCTCAGGCGGCCATTTTAAAAGCTGTCCCATTGCCTTTGACGATAATAATATGGTTTGGATTTTATCAGAACTCCTAGGGCTGTCTTATAAATGATGGTGCTTTTCACACAGTTATTCGTACCATAGAATGGACACTTCATAAATAGCATTAGCTTAGTGATATCAGAAGTTCCTGGTGGGAAGACTATAAGCTGGATTTACCTCACAAAATGGCTCCATTGATTGTGTTTTGGGATGAGAACAAGTTAGGGAAAAGGCAGTTTCAACCGCTATTGAGTCACTGCATTGAAGACACAACATTGTTTTTCTGTGGTTTATAGTTTCATCCACATCTGTTTTTCTGCCAAGTACACCTGCCATGTGCCATGATGGAATTCTGTAAGCTGCCTTTGTTGATCTCTTCTCTTGACTGCTAGTTCCTTGGTTGTCAGGCTGATACCTTGGCTTTGCTTTTTTCTGAGTCACCCGATCTGGATCAAGTATAGACCAGAGGCATTCTGCTACTTATGAACTCTATGCTTGTTTTGGGGCTGCTCAGACATTGCCAGATAAGCCCCGTACTTCTGCCATGACAGCTGTACGCTATTCATCTACCTTTATTCCTATGCAGTTACTTCAGAACAAAAAGGATTATTGATGAACGTCATATGCCGAAGAAATATATGAAAGGAGAGGGTGTCGCACACATCAGTCTGGTTTTTCCTGTTTGTTGATGAACGTGCATTTTATGAATGGGGTTGCTCTAGGTAACAGATACTTTCCTTTCAGATACTTTGCAAGCATGAGGCAGATGTTCTTGGCCGGACCACGTTTAGAGCCTGTGAGGTGTCTAGAAGGCCTGTGTGTCATATTGGTAGTGGCAACACCTACAGACATTCTGACTTCCTAGCATCACATCTTCATGCATACAGTCCAGTAATAACATTTTACTTGTCATTCTTCATGGATGTACTGAGAAATTACATGCGACAAAAACTTGTAAAATGAGACCAGTAGCTATCTAAAACAGGGCAACTCCAATATTAAAGGAAACCTGTACTATGAGGAATACCAATACCAGTTGCCTGATGGTGTCTGTCCCATAACAAAGATGCAGATTAGAAAGCCTGAACTTTTTTGCGGCATACTTGTACTACATCAGCTCCTCCGAAAACACTGATCAGCATGACAGCCAGGCAACTAACATTTTCAGAAAGTGCAGTTGGCCTCCTGGAAGATGGTTATGCCTCTTTTTAAGCACTCCTTATCTGTTTTCCTGGCCTGGCGCGTTCCATGTTGGTATACTGGGATTCACCAGACTAAACAAATGCCCATAATATAGAAAACAATAAGATATAAAATAAAGTCACAACGTAAATAAAACTTTCAGATAAGACTTTGCAGGATGGTAACAAGAAAACTGCTATAAGGTCTGCAATGATCACACTCTGTCTTGGTATACACTTACCAGCCTTGAGTGATACTAAAGTATCAGTGTTAGCAGCATAGAACTGGAACATCTATATGTATTTTGTGGGAATGCCATTTATCCAGCACCGTCCTTTACTGGGAAGAAACCTAAAGCAGTGTATACTGTGCTACTGAATTTAAAGGGTCAGACCACCCAAAAGTCATTTATTTCACTTCTAGATCGAGTTTGGTATGTGAAGTCATCTGCTGGCTTCTTGCATGCCTTGAGTGATACTAAAGTATCAGTGTTAGCAGCATAGAACTGGGACATGTTTATGTATTTTGTGGGAATGCCATCTATCCAGCACCGTCCTTTTCTGGTAGGAACCCGTAAGCAGTGTGTACTGTGCTACTGAATCAAAGGGTCAGACCACCCAAAAGTCATTTATATCACTTCTAGATCGAGTTTGGTATGTGAAGTCATCTGCTGGCTTCTTGCATGCCTTGAGGATTACGCTGGCAAGATATTCCTGCCATATTCTAGGCTTTCTTCCTACTTAACATTTTGGAAGTTCCTGTTGTGCTCCTCCTGCTAATTTTTAAATCTAAAATTAACAAAAAGTCCAGCATAGGAATCCTCTTATTGGCCATGGCAGGTGTGTAGACCTGAGAACTCAAGCTCAAATATGTTAGCACCCTAACCCACAAGAGATATATAGAGATCCCATTAGCAAACGTATGGCCGATCATCAAACAGGGTGGAATTTGGAAGTCCTAATGGTGTGACTAATGTCTATATGCCAATACTGTGATGATTAGTAGTATAGAGTATATAATGAACATCACAAAATTTAGAGTGGACCAGTGTGGGGTATGTACCGTACAGAATGGGGCCGTCCCAGCACAATTTGGGAATGCCTCGGAAAAAGTAACGCAGCACAACCATTTTTACTTCTACCGTAATAAAAATGGACCTCTCCGTCTGTAGTACAGAACTCCAATAGATGAGGTTTTGGGTGGGACATCCTCTCAATCACTACCTGGGTTTCTGCTTTAATATATCTATTGGGAAGGAACAGATTTAGGTTTAACTCTTCCACATCTACTAAAATCTGAAACGCAAGATTGTGTGGACTTCCCTTTTTAATTTAACCCTTGTTACTATGACAGTGTAATATATATATAGATCCGTTCACTCTAGACTTGTGGATGTTCTTATTTATGTGTATAATTGGCATAGAATAAACTGTATATAGGTTGCGGTAAGACATTGGAACACTCGGTCTACGAACAACATCAGTAGCGATATTATCATTCTACTTTAGGAAAACCAGATGCACCTAGTGGGAGGAAAAAGCAAAAATACATTTTGCCGAACCGATAAGTTCCTTTTGCGGCTCTTTTCCTTTCATGCGTTCATAAACACTGATTATTTTTCTGAGGAAGGTTACCATAGAAATTTCTATTTTCAGAGGTGAAATTATCAAAAAAAGATTTTTAATAGTTTTTTTTCCTGTTCTATGTTAAAATAACTTTTATAGCAAACTGTTTCCTTGTAACAATCTTCTTTTCTAGAATATTCAATACATTTTAAACACTATTTTTGGATACACTAGCTAGCAAACCAAGATATTTGAAGCTTTTTACTGTGCTTTGTGCCTCACTGTGAAAGTCCACTAATTTGTAAACCCCAAAAACCGGAGAAACCAATAAACTGGAATAAATTGTTTAGTATCTGGCGTGTTATTTCCAGCTGTATGATTGAGTTCTGTCAGTAAATACTGGTAAAATATGTTCTTATATACAGACCAATGGGTAGCTGGCTTGTTTTGGGGGGCTGGGATAAAAGGGCGTGGTCCATGTAACCATTTTAAAATATTACAACATAATGCACAGGTCACCGATGAGCTACTGGGACTTATGAATATTGAATACCATTATATGTGTGACCTTCCTATGTAGAAACATCAGTGTTGTAAGAAAAATTAAAGAACCGGTCACTTGGAATATCACAGCACTGTAGAGCAGAGGGAAACCCTGCTGAAGCTGCTGGTATTTGTGGTATCTTTATTGAGCAGTCACCAGTGGAAAATCAGCGGACTTTGACGTCTTTATTAAAACTGATCAGGTAAAATACATATTGAGGGGAATTTATCAAAACCTTGAGCAGATGAGCATGGCAACCAATCCGCATCTCTTTCATTCTCAAATCTTAACTGAACAAACTGAAGAGAAAAGCTGATTGGTTGCCGTGTACATCTGCTCCAGTTTTGATAAATCCCCTCCATAGTGATTTCCTATAGAAAAAAAAAAACATTTGAGGTTGAACTCCAGGCAAACGTATAAATATGCAGATGAAATGGCTTTTTGGGACATGTTTTATCTGCCACATGTTTTATATTTCTGTCCATTCAGTCCTCCGATACACAGCCATGCAAGACACCATAGCCTGAAGGGTGACAAATCCTTTCTCTGTTACATTGGTATCATCTTTCCATCCCCAAACTGCTGACTGGTCAGTAAAGGAGCCGCAGCAGACAGATGGAGTCAGCCTTTTGCTCACTCCGCTCTCTCCTCATGTCAGCTCATCAGCACATTTGCATGCAGCACACCTGGTTGGCCCCCATTGCTGTCCCATCTTCAACCAGACTATGTGCTGCTCTGCAGGGGATTACATGGGACTGATACCAAGTCAAATTTAGATACATACATGCTGCAGAATATACAGTGTTTGCTTTACAAATGTATTGAATTATGAATACCAAGCTAAAATAATTAGTGCATCATGGTAATAGAAATACTGCCTGTGTTAGTTTGTGAGCAGAGGGGAATGTCTTGTTTGCCCATACACTGGCAAGCGTGGGGAAAACCTGATATTTTGTCTCATTCGTTCTTCTTTCAGCAGCTCAGCCCACCACGCTCCTGCTATGGGTTTACATTGGATACTGGAAGGCTGGTGAGTCCTTGCTGAGAAGGGTGAACTGAGCTGCTGAAAGAAGCTTTAAAGAACCTCTGTGCTTCTGCTGGGAATTTTGAGGATGAATTGCTCTACAGTGCCTGTAACTACAGAGGTCAGTGAGGGCTAGCTGTGAAGCCCATTTGCTGCTTGTTAACAATATGTGAATGCCTAAATAACATAGCCTGGCCACGGGTTCTTTTTATTATTCTCACCATCAGGGGCATAACTACAGATCATGGGCTCCCCAGAAACTTCCCTACTGACATTTATCTAAACATAACGCATTTCTAAATCAAGGAGTGGTACCAGGAGAGCTGTCCGCATAATCAGTACATTACTGGGAACCAGAGATGTGAAAAAAAAGTCAGTGAGGAGTGGGGCAACATTGCTGGCAATAAAATCTTAACCTTCATTTTCCAGCTAAGTTTACAAACGTCTTTAAACTGGG